ACATCTTTTACTGGTTTAGAAAGCGTTTAAGTGTTTGAGCTCTCCTATACAGCTGAACAGAAATTCTGAGTAAATTTCTCAGAAATGTCAGTCACCTAGACCCATAGGGCAGATATTTCAAGCACCCAGTTCCTACGTGTCTGGTTTCCCTAGCAAAATCTACCATGCTGCACTAAGCACTTAAGCTGCAATGGGACATCTGGGAGCATGCCGCTGAAAATGGGATTATCAATTGCTTGGAAGCAGATCTTGAGCCACAAAAATGTAAGGTAATAGGAAATGTTGAGAACTGGCTGTGATTTAACTCCCTTTACTCTTAGGATTAGATGATTTCTTATGGATGTCAAAGAAATGTCCACTTCCAGTTCCAATATACAGCTCAGGTGTCCTTGAATCACTATGCAGAAACACTTGAACAAATTTACAGAGAAATAGAAGTCTGTGAAATGCCATACTGGCATGTCATTCTAGGTGAATTTTGTAGATTACATGTTAGATTACTCCTAAAATATATGTGTGTATATATTCCCATTTTCCCTCATTCAGCAGGGTGCCCAGGTGGCTAAGAAAGCCAATGGCATCCTGGCTTGTGTCAGCAATAATGTGGCCAGCAGGACTAGGAACGGGATCTTCCCCCAGTTCTTGGCACTGGTGAGGCTGCACCTCAAATCTTGTGTTGTTTTGGGCCCCTCACTAGAAGAAGGGCATTGAGGTGCTGGAGCAAGTCGAGAGATAGATGTTGGAGCTGGTGAAACATCTGGAGCACAAACCCTAAGAAGCGCGGCTGAGGGAACTGGGGTTGTTCAGCCTTTGTTTTGGGCCCCTCACTAGAAGAAGGGCATTGAGGTGCTGGAGCAAGTCGAGAGATAGATGTTGGAGCTGGTGAAACATCTGGAGCACAAACCCTAAGAAGCGCGGCTGAGGGAACTGGGGTTGTTCAGCCTGGAGAAAAGGAGGCTCAGGGGTGACCTTATCGCTCTCTACAACTACCTGAAAGGAGGTTATAGCACTGTGGGGCTTGGTCTCTTCTATGAGGCAACTAGCAACAGGACAAGAGGACACAGCTTCAGGCTGTGCCAAGACACATTCAGGTTGGACATCAGGAAGAATTTCTTCACAGTGAGGGGTTGTCAAGCATTGGAACAGGCTGCCCAGGGAGGTGGTGGAGTCTCCATCCCTGGAGATGTTCAAGAAGCAGCTGGATGTGGAGTATAGACCTGTGGTTTAGTTGACATTGTGATGTTTAGTCAAAGGTTGGACTCAATAATCTTGGAGGTCTTTTCCAACCTAAATGGTTCTGTGATTCTATCCTTCCATGTATTCCCTACCATGAACTCTTTCTTTCACTATGGTGTTCATGAGGTTCTGCTCTAAGCTGCTTCACCTTTCCCATTATATAATAAAATACCTCCCACTGGCAGGACACCATGACTGCAGTCTTACATAGATCTACATTCTTGCATTCTTTCTATGCACTTATGGTAAGAAAAAAAAATAAAATCCTTCAAGGAAACAGCAGACTTGGAGCCAGTCCAGCTCCTCCAGTGAAGTGGTTTAAGGGGTAAACACTTTATCAGTAGTGTGAAATCTGAATTCAGTACTCTTCCTTAGCCTGAAAACATCAAAATCCACCTTTAATTACTAGAAGGGTGGAATTTCTCCATCAACTCAAAATTGCACCAATATAATAGAAATATGAAGGACTATTCTAACCAGACTACATAATCCCACAGGCTCATAAGTGAGCCAGTCTTTCCACCAAAAAAAAAAATCCCAGAAACCCAGTGACACAAAATAACACCTCCAAAAGAAAACCCAAACAAACAAACAAAGGGAAAAAGACCCAAAAAATCCCAACCAAAAACCCACCAACTAAATACCAAAACCAAAAATCAATTCAGCAATCTGAATTTAAATTACTTAATTAACTTAGATGCTTCTGAAAATTCTACTTGTATCACTAATGCAAAAATGTGACAGAAAACTTATGGTCAATTGTTTATACAAAAAAGTATGTACGAGACTAGATGACAGATTCTACATTGATATTTATATTAAGAAACCCCACTATTATTATAACAGTCTAAGAAATTAATATTCATTTAGTGCTCCCTCTTCCCTTTCAGGGAACAAAGGCTTTTGAAATGCCAAATGAGTTTAAAAGAATTAATGTGGATGAACATTCTCTCTCAGGCACAGGTGGCTTGTGGATTGATGTGGGGAACTATCTTTTCTTGGAACTATAATCAAAAAGAGATAGTCTGACATACTGACAAATGCTTTGTGTGGAATAGTGTCATGATTTTCTGCACAATTGTTCTATAAAGGGTTATGCCTAGTGCACATACACAAAATATACATACTAGATCTGGCAAAGGATTTTGTTCAGTTGAACTGATATTATCACAAACCCCCTCTTCATTAGTTACTGTTTGCACTGGCATCCAAAAATGTCTTTTGTAAGGACTCCTTGCTTCTATCCAGTACTAGCATTCGCCATTGTGGCATTCAGACATCTCTGAATACTGAAGGCCACCCAGCAAACAAAGACTGTCCCAAAAAGGGGCTAACAAAAGGAATCTTTAAGGACTGTAATTAAATTAACAAAAAAAAAAAATTAATTACCTCCACCATAGTTACTGGTGTACCTCTTTTCTCCATGTAGCTTTCCCAGTGCCTTTTCTGTTACTGCTGATCTTGGTTGATCTGTTTCTTCATTCAATATGCAATTATTTCCACCCACTACTTTACACAGGGCTATGTGAACTTAGAGAAGTTTTAAGCTCTGCAAGTTTTAAATCTTGTAGGTAATAGTGAGACAGACATGTCAGGATTTCACCAAATCTACCTTTTCATCAAAAATTTTATCTGCTGGTAGAATAGGCTTTATCATTTGACAAATGAAGAAAACAATGTGTGAAATCTGAAAAAACAAATTAAGAGAATTACTGTATTATGCATTCCCAAGTTTTCAGACCCAAGGCTTAAAGTAGATCTGATTGGGGAAAAAAAGAATTAATGCCTTAATTACAACCAAGAGACATATGGTACAAATATAATTAAATTCATTGAGATGCATAAATAATGTCCAATTCCATAGCTTCTCCGGCACACTGTGCATTCTAGAAGCCAACAAGACAAGGTATATTATGATTTTCCTGACACTATGATTGTGAACCTCCTGACCAAGAATGTGGCCTTACAACCACTGTGTTGCAACATACAGCAGATCCATCATATGTGTGTTGGGTTTTTTTCATTTACATGGACATGCTAGAATACTTCCTAGCAAAAGAACACCTGAAAGGAAAAAAGCCAAAGTAGTCTGAAATAAATCCCAATGTTTCTAACAATAGTAAATTTGCCAGCACTGTTAAAGTCAACGATCATTGGCAGTCAGCTGTTCAGAGGAAGTTCAAGCTGAAAAGTGTAACAATTAAGTAACCTAGAAAATATTTTTAAAAAAACTTTCCATTTTAAAAATGGCATAGCACTTCACAGTATTTTGATGTAGCAAATATAATTAGTTCTTTGAAAAGACTGATGATTCTGCTTTTTGCCTTGCTACATGTGAAAGCAACATGATCAGCACCTAAGCTGGTCTGGCATTTTCATATAGATACATATTGACAACACAGCAATTGACAAAGACATAGATACATATGGATAGAACACTAACTTTGAATGTCTAGGAGACCAGATTATCCTGAATGGCTAACATTTTACATTCCGAATGCAAAGTTAATGTATTAAGGCTATTACAATTCTAGATGCTATAAAATGGTTTCAGTAGAATGGTCATGTAAATTGAAAAGAAAACTGATGCCTCTTCAGACTGGAAATTAAGATAAAATTTACCCCCAGATGAGAAATTCCCTATCCAGTCAATGCATCTGTCAGTCAATCGTGTTTATTCCTAGCTGCATGTCTTTGAAAGAGCAGGGATATAGGCCACTGTCAAATGCCAGCAAAATGAGAAAGCAGTCCTTCACAGATGAGTCTTAACCTGTATGCCAGTTTATGTAATCTGAATTATTTGTGCAAAGATATCCTTCTGTTCATCTGTACTCTCCATTAGCAACAGAAATTCCACTTAGATCACAGAATGTAGGAAATATATGGCCCTCACTGGTGCAATAGCTGATAGAACTTGTTAATCTACAGAAGAACATAGAATAAAGTGAACACATTCTCTCCTCATTCATTTCTCTTGAGTACACCAAGAAAACTTGAAGATGGATAGCTTTGGTAACTGGCTGCTTAGCATGGCTCTTCACAGGTGTCACAAACTGATGCAACAGTGGAAGGGATTCAAGGATTGCTTCGGTATGAATACATAGAGCCTATAGGCCTGTGTAACATGGGACACTCAGGAAAATTAATTTTAATTAATTTGTGGAGTGGTTTAGGTAAAAATCAAAATATTCCTTTATCAATATTCTCACAAGAAATTAAGAAGCGAGTTTAACTCAGTTTAGGTTAATTCACGTCACTTGCAGCCCTGCAAGTATTAAACATCTTTAAGTAATCCCCTCTAAAACTCACACTTTTGGTAATTTAGTTAAATTTACCTGAGTATCTTAGTATAGACAAGATTCTAAGAAGGGAATGGTCATTAACTACCACTTCTCTGTAAAATATGAAGGATGTAACTTATCCAGCTTATATAATCACAGATATCCTCAGTTAACGAATAAAGGCTCTAATGTACTTAGCTGAAATGTAGTCTCACATGAATTCAGTTCAGCTGGGGAAAAAAGGAGAGGGAAGTCACCTCTTCTTTTAGAGAAATGAACAAATGAGTTATGATCAGGCACACATTATTGTATCTGCCAAAGAACATATACATGAGACATCAGAATAAACTTAAACTGCACATCTTTATGAAATGTTCAATTTTTATATTTACACTATAATTAGTACAAAATTGCCTTTTAGGTTTTCTGTAGCACAAGACAGTATCTACTGGACTTGATACCCTAATATGTTAAAACAACTACTTTGAAGTACGATAAAGGAATCTAGGAACAGGTATAAAGAATAAGACACCATTTTCAAACTATACATAGTGTTTGCTTTTGCTTCTAAAAAGGTACTTATATCCCCAAAATGTTTTTAATTTTAAATAAGCAGGGTGGGCAGGGAGGGGGCAAGGGGGAAGACTGGTTGTTGGTACTAAAGCCTTTACTGTAGTAAACTAAATATATTTACAATTTATACAAACGTCTGACCTTCAACAAAAATACAAAACATATCACAAGATGCAAAAGCAGGAAACAAGTTCATCTGAGACACCGCTGCTCTACACAGGACAGAATGCAACTTCAACTGCAAGGAACAGAAAGGTATTTATCCCCCATATTCAGGCAATGAGAACAATTTGCATGAGGTCACAAGGAAAGAATAAAATAAAAGGCTCCAACACTCTTCAGTAGACTTGGCTTTGAAAAACAATGTCAAAAACCTCGGCTATGTCTGTCCATCTTGCCTCTGTGTTCCACCTGGTCCACGTAGCCAATACTGAGTTGCTGGATGTTGCCTTCTATTTTGAAAAACTGGAGTAGTTTCATGGCAAGGTCTCAAACCTCAATACTTTTGTTCCTTTTAAAAGGCAAAACCATTCTACTTCTACAATTAAGAACAATTTTGGCCCAGTTCAACTTCTAGAAGTTATATCCCCATCATATTTTTCAGTAGATAACTTCATAGACTGTAGCTTTTTTGTCTCCAGAGCCAGTGACTATGTACTTATCATCCACAGAGATGTCACAGCTAAGCACTGATGAAGATTCTTTGGACTAGAAGAAAAACAGAAATATATTACATCATTGAAAAAAAGTCTATTACCCTCATCTCAACATCTCATTTTGGGTAGATGACATGCATGTAGACATCTGAGCCCACTTTTGGGACCCTGGGTTTTCTAGTTTTTTCTTTTAAGCATCATCATCCTCACCTGGAAGATACTGGCCCCATAAGGAGTTCGCCACGCATTAAGAAGGTTATCTTTCCCAGTACTCACAAACCATTTACCTAGAATATAAACCAGAGGGATTATGAAACCATGAAACAGACATTTGATAAATTTTGGGTTTTTAATTCACATCAATGAAATCTGTTAACTAATTACCATTATAAAAGCTTTCACCAGTAATCAGCATATTACTTTTTCTTACAATCAATGTGGACACTCATGCCTTTTCAGTATGTTACATACTAGGAAATCCCTAGACTCTGCAAATAGAAATAGGTTTTTACACACGAATCAATCCTCACAGCAGCTTTTAGACAAACAGATGTTTTTTTGTAGATAAGCGTGTTTGAATTCCTAAAGCAGAGATATTTATTCAATACTTAAGAAACTGAGATACTAAATAGTTTTGATTATCGAATGAGCTATGACTATGTAATAATTAATCAGCAAAACATGAATTAGAACCCTGACCTCCAGTTCTGTGTTCAGAGCTACTTACCACAGTAAGCAAACTTGAGTGACAATACGCAACTCTCATGAAGGTGCAGTTGATATTTGTCTGGTTTATTTACATGCAGCACTTCTACATTGCTGCTTTCCATACCCACAGCTAGCCATTCACCAGTAGGACAATAACCAAGGGAAAATATCTGAAAATTAAACCACATTAACACATCTTACTTTTTTTTTTACAGGTGTTCTTTGTTTTTCCTGCATTTAACATTAATTGGGAGAGAGAGAGACAGAGAAGGGTAAATTCACACAGTCCAATAGCAAGACTGATGTTCAAAATTCAAGTAACTAAATAACCTCTGTTCTTACCTACTGACTTAGAAATATGGGAAAAGCGAGTAGTGTCAGGCTATCATTTTGTTCTGGAATCTAGGTATATGAGAAAGGTGAAAAATATTGTGTTGTGAGCACCCAAAAGGAAGAGAGGAAACAATCTGCAAGTAGCAATGGGCCCAATCTCACCTTTCATCCTAAATGTTTCCTACTCACCGCACACACTCACACAAGCTGTAGGAAAACCCGGTTACCTGTGATGTGAAGTCATGCTGTTGTAGCTGTCTGCCCTCTCTCAAGTCCCAGGATCTGACAGTGTTATCCAAACCTCCTGTCCAGAGCTTGGTACCATCATTAGAAATGTCAATACAGCTGGCTCCGTCTGTGTGGCCCTGGAATTGCCTGATAAAACAAACCAGATTGAATAATGATTTCCTGCCAGAGCTCAAGGTAAACACTGTTGTGGTGTTAGTTTTGGACTCTGTACATGTGTGTCATCTCTCCTGTGTCTGCAGATGAGCAAGAATCAGACCCTCCCTCTTACTAAGCATGAAATACAACAGCATTACAAAACCATTTTCCAGGTGCTAGAGGAACAAATTGCATCATGACTACCTGAATAAAGTCAAATCTTTCCTATAGATTTTGAAAAACAAAAGAAATAACACCATGTGAGAATATCAAACACAGTAACTATAGTTAAAACCACTAAGGACAACTCAGATTAAATGAAGTGCTGCAGGAACAAAACTTCAATTTCAGAAAATAGATTCTGCATTTTGCTTTGGCTGCAAGTCAAGGTGATAAATAATAAGCAGAGATATTAATAGAAAGGGATTCAGATAGATATCTGGATAGTTAAACACAAGCATTGCTGAGTCACAAAGTTGCATTCTGTGTGGCAGAAGATTAGAAAAATCTACATGGTGTAGTTTGTTTTATAGCCTTCTCATTAGCAACTCTCAGCTTTCAGCAGCCAGAAGGTCATCTCGAGTTTTTCTTAATCCTTTGGCAAAAACATTCTGAGGCTCCTGCATTTTTCACCAGCAATTAACTTTTGCGAAGTCCTATGCCTCAGTGTGAAAGATGGGTGAGGAAAAGACAACTAGCTTGGGAATGAAGGGTTTGAGTCACTACAAGCTGCCACAGAAAGGTCACGCGACACATTTTGTTTTGTACCACGGGGCTCAAAATTCCATGTGTTATCAATCAGCAAGATCAGCTACCAAATGGTGGGAACATCTACAGCAAAACAACATTTTAGGCCCTGAAAGCACATCTTCCAAGACTAGACTGAAGTTACCAAAACTAGTTTCTGCCTAACTGGGTGCAAACCTCATTCTTTGAATAAGAGAGATATTTACTTTGCTGTCATGAATCACTACTCAGGGAGAGAAATATTTATGCAGCTGTCCAAAAAGTAACCTATTAAAGTTTTCTGTAGAGAAGTAATGACTCACCTGACCAATGTCTGATTGTGCAGATCCCACACTGCAATGTTCCCATCACTGCAGCAGGAAAAGCACACCTTGGAATCAGGGCTGATAGCCAGAGCATAGCAGGCAGGCGCTGAGGATGTCAGCTCTGCTTTTATACGAGGAGTTGGTGCTGCCAGGTCCCATATGGATAATGTGCTGGCTTCTCCGCCAACTATGAGTGTGCATCCATCAGGCAGCAATTTACAAGAGCGGATGTAGTTATCTCTGTTCTGTACAACACAAATCACCTCAGTTATGTTAAAACATGCCTGCCAATAATGACCACTAATATGATTCTGACTGCATCAAAGTTTTAAACAGTTTGCTATTTTTTCCATTACCGAAGTCCTGAAGAGTAACCAGCAGATCATAAAAGGTTTCAAACACCTACTTCTCATCACTAATTAGAGACTGCAGCTGCAGAAATTAAAACTGCAGACTCCGGTTGCCACAGTCTACTCTGTTTCAAACCCGACGAATGGCAAGCTTTTTATCTCATTACACAAAAACAGAGCCAAAGTAAGCTTGCATTTCTGCAAATGCACTTCATCAGCGAAGGTCACCAACAACAGAAATATTAAAGCAAATGACCTTTCATTTGGCATTTAGACAACCCTATATGACATGTAGTCGAAGTCTCATGCCCTTCAGGTTTTGGAATTTTTCTTTCAAATACTATTTTGTATTCACTGTATTAAAATTAAAATATTAAGTATTCCCATACTGGTCCTGTATTTATGTCGGTCCTTTCTTGTTCAACATGATTCTTATCATCCTTACTAATTTCACATTTGTGATACTATTGCTGATTGAGAGGCACTATGGGGGATTTAGAGACAGAAGACATTTCTGCCTTAATTTATTACAAGTTTTCTTGACTGGCAACAGCTCTTTAGGAAATGGATTATTAATACCCGTAACTCAAAACAGAAAAATAATACTGCAAGAAGTAGTTAACAGCATTCCTACTACTACCTTATTTTTATTCGCAGCAAAGGAGCTGTAAGTAGGGCAATGATAATGTTAGCTTAGTTGTTACTGTTCCATAACTAAAATGAAGGCAGGTAGGATTCTGCATCTAGACACATACCTGCACCGTTACTACTAGGCAATTAACATAAGGATAGCAGTAAATAAAGGGTAAAGGGTGAAAAAACCCAAACCAAATCAAAAACACCACCACATTTAACTGGATTAACATTGAAGCTAGAATTATTTTCATTCAGAATATATATTACTGTGCTTCACAAAATTAAGCCTTCTCAGTTAACACTTCACAAATGTTTATGCCGCCCTTAATGTGAAGCATCTTTATTAAGCCATTACCTTTTTTTGAGTTAGCTTTTCAGCTACATATACTACTGCACCCAGTGTCTTTTGTATCCTGCATGTATGAAAACAACAAACCTGTATGTGTAACTTGCGGATCATGATCAAAATCACATGAGACTAAAAGTGACCTTGGTACCTTGCCACATTATTTCATTATGTGGTTGCTACCATCTTACAAAAAATGAGGTTGTTGCTCCTTGTGTGAGTGAAAAACCTAGGAAGTTTCTGTGCAGCCCTGCACAAGCCAAGCTAAACGTCTTTTAAATGCATGCACAAAAATCATCAGCACAACCGGATGGGAAAAAAAACAAAACGGGAAAAAAATCAGGTCCACATTCTACTCAGAAATCTGATCTCATCTGTAATTTGACCCTTAGTGATGATATTTATCCCTAAATAAACCAGCACTCTTCTCTGTAACTCCACCTGTTATGTGCTAAAAAAAAGACAGCTGGAAACAGAACTGCCTGCTAGTTCATTGTAATATGAACAAAATCCAGACACGGACAGCTATTTCCTTATTCAGTCTCCAAGGAGAAGCTACCCTTGTGCACAAGCTCCTGTTCACCTACCAGGCAGTCCAGCTGAGAGACAGGGCTCTTGTTGCCAGGCTGGCTTATGTCCCAGACTTTGACGCACCCCTTCCCACCCGTGTACACGTGTCTCGTGGGGTTGCTGATGGTAACTGCACACACGACTTCCCCGTGGTTCAGAGTGTTGATCTGACGAGCATGGCGAGGGATTCCTGGACCAATAAGGGCGTCAGGAGGAAAAGGAACTGGCTGCATCTGACCATCTGCAGTAACGTGAAAAGAGTAGGCTCTTTTGGGGAAGGGAAAGAACAGAGAACACAAAACAAACAAGAAAAAAATCAGCCATTACACTCCTATAGCAAGAAAAACACAGTATTTATTATTTATATTCTTTGTCAATCATCTTTTCATGAAAATCAGAGCTACAGTGCCAGGTATTACAGGCACATGAAACCTCAGAGGGAGACAAGGATGCAAAATAGATATTTTCAGCTTGCCTCATCCAAAGTATTTGTGCAGTGGGGAAGCAGGTTAAGTTATACCCTTAACTCTACAGACCAAGGTCATGGCTGCTATCCCTCAGCCACCTGGATAACCAAAAGATCTTTCAGACCCTGGTTTCTAGCCAGCAGTTCCAAGTCTCAGCATCACAAGTCCTACAGAAGCAGCGCCTCACCAGGCACTGCTCTTTCATCCTTCTTCCATTAGGCTTGTATGTGTTGCTTTGCAGTAGCACTAGCTTTCCTCAATTTCTGCACCTCATCTTTAACATCACCACCAGCTGTGCTCACATGCCTCTCTTTCCAGCCGGTAACTGGTGCTTTAAACAGAAAATAGAAACGTGTTGGGTGGTTGCACACACCTTTCATGAGAAAGCTGATATCATCTTCTCATAATTATGTTTTCTTGAGTAAGTACATTGGAAAAGCTGAAAGGCTTAGTTTCCCAGGTACTTTTGGCACTTCTGTAACACCTTTTATTTGCATTCAGTGCATGATTTCAAGCATATGGAAACTGAGAGCTGAGGAATTGAAATCCCAGCACTGAATAAAAACATTCCTCCTCAAGGAAAGTACATGAAATAATTTCTTCATGGTCACCCAAATGTTACCATGTCAGCTCTAGTCAAGGACCAGGGCACAAATATCAACTAATGAAGGTTTCAGGTGCAGGGAGGGTTTCTTTCTTTATTTGTTTTAAATAATTATGAAAATGGTACTGCAAAAGGCTGGGTTTTGTTATACTGGTGAGCCCAACTTTTGCTACTTCTGTTTTAAGCCCATGCTTTTGATGTTGCTGTTACATTAATAGCATTCTCGAAGAGGCTGAAATGGACAAAAAATGGGGAAATATGTGTATCTGGGTTTTTTTTATTTTTACTAATGTGTGGCCATCTCCCTAGTGATACCTTTATTTCTCTAACATATTGTGTTCAGAACTGCTCTTTCTTTTCCAAATCAACCTTCTTCCTCAGAAATCTTCAAGTACTGTAGCTCAAGTATTAGTGTTGCATCCCTCTTCCAAGGACCCAACAATAGATATTTCAATTTAATGTTTTGCTCTGAGCTCTAAGCCAGTATTTTCAAAGTATTTTATTACATGTTTCCAAGTATCACAGTTTGAAAAGAAGGAACAAGCAAGATGCCTAAATCTGTAACAGACATCACAAAGCAACTGAATACGCCCAGAAGCAAGGCAGAATAGGAGAGATGAAAGAACTCTAAAGTTCTTTCATAGAGAAGGTAACAGTGGGAGCAGTCACACCATGCAATATCAGTTTTCTCTGATGGGAAGGGTAAAAAGTGGCTAACAGTAACTGCTACTCAACAGAGAAGAAATTAGTTATGCATATACATGCAATTCCTGTACCTCGTTTATATTTCATGGTTGGGCATGTGAGTTGAAAGCCTGCTCAGAGAATGCACAGAAATGGAGGATGAGCAAGTGCAAAAGATGATAGATCTTTTATGTCATAGAAAATTCACGAAAGGGAAATGTAAGATAAGAAAGTGCAAAATTCACTCCCTTACATGTGTACAAGGAGCACAGTATATCAAATGAATTTTGTCCATGGGACCTCTTCTCTTTTTTGTATGAAGAATTAATGCAACGATAAAGGCTTAACTAAAAATTGGTATCCTTTCTGTGAAGCGCAGAGACAGAACTGTCCCAAAGTAGCTATTCACTACACAGGTCAGACACGAGATGGGGCAGGAAGGAGAAGGGGAGTGGCAACAAGACTGCTTCAGGCTGAACAACTGCTCAGGTTCATCTACAGAATCCAACTAAAGAGTCATAGCACTTAAAGACACTGGAAAGCTGGGGCCCATCCTGGGCTCCAGATCAAAGTCAGTTGCAGAATATTTGTTAGCACTAAGACTACACAGAACTGCACAGCTTTGAAGTTTCAGCTCGCCCTTGCTTTTATCATGGACTGAAGAAAAACAATTAAGCAAGTATTAGGCAATATTTTCCAACACATTCAAGATGAATAATTTACTTTTACATGACTTTCCTTTTTTTAATAAAAGGTTATAGCTTAAAGGTTCAGTTCAGTTCAAAATACTCAAATAACTGGTGTTTAGCAATGCTTAGGTGCGTACACACAGATCCTCAGATCTTGCAGAGATGGGGTGTGAGGAAGACAGGAACATGCTTCAAGCATTTTGTGTGTACAGTGGAATCAGGACAATTCTTCTGCTCTGAAACAGAGTTCTATGCAGTATACTTTTAATCATGTAGAATTCGTCCAGTGTGCCTGTGTTCAAAGTGTGGCTATACAGACCATAGAAGCAGTCTCTGTTTTTATCATCATAAGCCAGCATCTGCTTCTAGGACTAGCTGATCAGGACTCAGGATGACTCAGTTTAAGGGCCTAACAAACACACGAGCAATAGTTTCTTACAAGCCAAGACAGCTTCTACAGTGCAAGTTATCTGCAATCCACTGTAGAAAGAAATGGCCATGCATTGCCAAATCCCTCTGAATCTGCCAAGACAAGCACACAAAAAAGTACATGTTTCTGTTTGCTTGAAGATACGTGGCATGTAACACTAACACCACCACTGCCAGCATACTTATGATATGGTGGTCTAGTTACTTGTATCTGCTAAGAATTATGGTATAACTGTTTGTAACACATCCCTTTCAACTTCAAAAAAATTTTCATCATCTGCTGGACTGACACTTCCCAGACAAGGAAAGATTCTGCCTCCAGAAGAACATAGTACTGAAGTGTAAATGACTATTTGTACATCAGCCACTGTTGTCCTCAACTTCCTTTTCATCAGGTCACCACAACGGCCAGTCTAGTCTTCTATTTGTGGAAAGAACTGTACTTACAGCGCTGCACCTACAGAAGACTCACTTTTTAATGCACTAGATATATTCACAGGCCTGAATTCTCAAAACAGAACCAATTGCAAAAGAGTCAATAGTCAGTAAAATTTGTCAAATTCTTGAGTTCTCCAAATTTCAAGATATTTTGTAAAAGGCACCTCTTGACCATCCATCTTTCTTTTCAGACCAACAGTGTACACCAGAAACTGCTGTTCCACTTCATAATGAGCACAGACTTCTGTCTCACTCACAGAATTCTGCTCTGTGAAAGATGGCTATCAAATCATGGGTTCCATGGTTATTCATCTTTGGTCAAATGACTGCTAGTGTTAAGACAGCCCTTCCTTGTGTTGGGCGAACAACAACAGCAAACAAAGAAAAATGTCTTACACAAATGCAATTACAATTTAATATAAAACAAGTTAAGTATATATCAACTAAGATGTAAATATACACTTGCAATTAGTTGAATATTATGAAAAGAGCGATTACAAGACAAGATTCTGTGCCTTTTATTTAGAAAAGAGTTCTGAGAAATCATAAACTGTCACCTATATTATTTCTGAATAGCAGAAATACTCTTCTCATCTCCTGCATACAAAGACTTTTTGTCATCTGCATCAAAGCAGCACCAAGAAGCTGCAGAATTTCTATACACAACAACATAGTAAGTGATACTAATACAATGCAGTTTCTCAGATTTAAATCTCCAATTTCCAAACAAGTATGCAGCAAGTATCTTCCGAAATGTTGGAGAGTTCAGAATAATTAATTCACTGTTCAAGAACATAGCAAATTAACTAAACTACCTGCCAGGTACTCTAAGTATTCAGATTGATATAATGCATACAATTCCTTCCTACTTAAAGTACCTCACCTTAAAAAAAACAAACCAAACCACAAAACCTTCTACTTTATCCCTCCAATTCAGAGTTCGTTAACTAACAGAAAAATACGCCAACAGCAAAACATAAAAGCAGCAAGTTCCTTCTACTCATGAGTGCATTTTACTTTCAGATTTTCTTTGCACTCCAACTCACTTTTAATTGTAGTTATCACAAGAAGCAGTGAATATCTGAGTGTGATGCTTTATTGCATAGAACAAAATGCCCAGATATGAGGATAAAGGTATTTGTACCTAAATAACAGAATCTTGAACTTCATACATGTCGCCACTTAATTCTATTCAGAGATACAAGATGGGGACATCCCCCTCCCCATCTTACTGTCCTGGAATATAATAAAATTAGCCTTTCTTTACAGTATCTCTCATTGTACATTCACTGAACAAGTGTGAAGAACAGTACAAGCGAGACCGAGCAATTCCAAAGCAGTATAGTACACCTCTCCAATGCCACAATGAAAAGTCAGGTTACAGCTTGAAGTTGAAAGAGTTAGCATTTACCACATGAAATTTACCTTTCCTACTAAAATGAGAAACATATATTTTCAGCTCTTTCTAATGTCTGTGCCTATCACTCCATGCTTCAATTAAAACCACATTGGAAAAAAAATAACGAGAAATGCATTTGTCCTCAATGCTATCATTAATTCACAGTTTTAGACATCAGGGAAGCAATATTGTGGACATAAATCTGACCATTAGTTTTGAAAATCTGTGTGTAGTCCAAAACCCAACTATCAGAAGGCATAGTTTACATCAACAAGAAATCCATGCAAATGTTGATTTAGCATCCATAGAGGACTACAAGCTAAATAAGTACCTTGCTAGAAAGGCTATGCAAAGGAAAAAAAAATTATTATAGCAACACACTAAAAACTTATATTCCAGGGTACAGTTAAATGCACTAAAACAGCAGAGTGCAGGACTCAAGACAGAACGTTCTAATAGGCTACTAATTTTTCTAACAAGCTAGTCATTAACAGACCTCAGAACATACAGAGTTTAAAAAAGCCTTGGGCGCTATCAGAAATGTCTGTCCTTTAGGAAAAAAGAGAATTTAATTTTCTTGTGGAAGGAGGACTAGGTGAAAGAAAACAGTCCCAACATAACCACTGATAAACATGTGCTGCCTTAAGCATACGTGTATGGGTGGGGACTCCATAGTTCAATCTGAAAATTCTCTGTACCACTTGCAACAAGACTTAGTAAAACTGCACATCTCAAAACAAATGCGATGTGACACCTTAACAGCACTCTAGGAAAAGGTTGCCTTTGAAAATAAATGAGGCATACTCCACCAGTTTGCATATTACCCATGTACTCTGTGCAGAAAATACAGGAGATTAATCTAATGTAGGTGAGATACTCAAAGATGCTGCAGGTAGCAGATGGCATCTAGCTAGCTGTAGCCAGCTAAGACTAAAACGAGATCATTCTAAGGCTGTCAATGAAAAGATAACAGATGAGTCTATGGAATTTTAGGCTTGCCTTACTATGATAAGCAACGAAATAGTTTTAGAGGAAATGCACAAGTAACATCACCACAAAAAAACCACCACCACTGCAGAACACATTAAATCAGCGAAGAGTAGGGAATATGTATCCAAGTAAGTAATAAATGAAGCAGTGTGAATGAAGTGCTAAAAACATTAAATAAAAATATAAAATAAAACAAACAAAAATTAAAAAAAAACCACAGCAAAACAAACCCGCAAAACCCATCCACCAAACAAAAATAACACCAAAAAACCCCACAGACAGCAATTTAACTATGAAATACCAGAATAGGAAGTAGAGCAGCATGCATGTACAGCCTTTTTGTCTTGAACAGCATAACAACTAGCAGTCACCACAGAAAACTTTTGATCAAACAAAACCAGGTTTCAATAGCTTGTAATATAAAATATTGCCAGGCATTAATAGCAAAGTAAGACATTGAAAGTTTACGAATATCCTTGTATAAAAGTAAAAACTTACAACCACTGGATTACGTGCTCTCCAAAAACATTTTATATAGGTATGCCAAATTCTATTAGAGTCATCCAGAACAAGTCTGACCCTTAACAAGAGAATGTTTTGAGAACAAAGCCTGATCCTTACTGCATTAAATTTAAATGCATCACCATGTGATACATAAACCAACTCACTGAGCCCTCACTTTGTTAATCTTGTCAACACACCATCAACTTTAAGCGAACCCAAGATTTATCTGGTTTATCACACTGCCAACAGATAGCTAAGTCTGTTCTCAGAAACATAGAGGCTAACAACAAAAACACATTCAGGATGGCTTTCCAAATTAAGTCTGCTGCTTTCCTACTGTTATGGGAAAATATCAGAAGACAATACACACTTTTTTGCCTGTAATCTGGTACACTTTTAAGGATGTTTGCAAGATGGACATTACAACGTATCACTAGTTATTAACAGGAGTTCAAAATTCAGCAAAGAGAAATATGTAAGTATGCAACTTTCACCACAGTGTGTCTTAAAAGTTAGACAGTATTCTACAAGCAATAGTTTCTGCACTTTTCCTGAAACTGCAAAAGCAAAAGATAAACCAATGCATTGGTAAATAAGACATTGTGTAACATGAACATCTAGTATAAAAAGTGCAAAGTGTAAAGTGAATTTCAATATTATTCAAGTACCTAGACAGAGAAAAACTCTAATTGCAACTTTCTGTTGAAAGAGAAGACAGGACTGACTGCCAAGCATGAAGGGACAAAGAACAGGTTCTAACAGAGCATTGTAAAACCTGTTATAATTCTCTCTGCCCCATTCTCTTCAGAAAAAACAGCTGAGTCAAATTTGCTCTGTTAGTACCTGCACAGACTAGTTGTCCAGAAATATCTAAAAAATAATCACATATTTTAAGAGGCTGTACATACTCATGAATCTACATTGATAAGTTCAGTCTCAATGGACTACCAAATTCAAATTACTGAAAAATTTTATGTATACTGAAGAATTTACTTTATTTCAACATCAATAAAACACAGGATCACAGAAGTGCTTCATCAGTAACTAAAACTTTTAAATAAAATGAGCCTATTGTGAAGGTTATTCTGCATCCATGTACCACCTGCTCCACAACTGCTTCACCATTCTTTTGCTTTCCAGCTGCACACTCACACAAAAGTTCTACATAGCTTGTTCCATTATGCAAGGTGTGTGTAATCTGTTGCTAAAGTAATTGCTTCAGACATCCACTGCCATCAGTTGCAGACTCTCATGCCTGATAACACAGGTGCCAGACAAGGAGTCTACAAGTTTGCACTATACAGTTACTCTCAGTATAGTGTGAGCTTTAGTTCCAATATGCTTTATCTAACACATTTAACCATTATCTACCAGTTTGTAGTGCCCTTAACTTGCCCTGGAAAGGTTGAAATGAAAAGAAAAAACAACTTAAAGTATACCTTCAACAACCTTTCCTTAGAAACAGGTATATGTACACCTCTTTTGGGCTATGACAACTACCATTTGAGAATTTTTATGCTGTACCTTTTACCAGGAGAAGTCTAAAACAACATCCTGGGAACAGCCAGACATGATCCCCTTCGAACTCCTTGTTCACTGACACAATATAACTTTATTCTCTCTAGATATTGCAAATGTTAACAAAATGTTAAAAGTTACTTACGGTTTTCCCCCAGGAATCCCTGCTAGATTTGGAGGGATTCCAGGTACCCTCATGTGAGGAGGAGGATCAAACCCAACCTGACAATGAAAAGTGAATTAATCTCACACTTGCAATTTCTCATTCAGCAATTCCTCACTCCCAAGATATTATGCATTTAACCAAAAGGCGGCTTTTACCCACAGTATTAAGTGCATGACCCTTCACTGGTGGGCAAACCCAAAATGTTTTCCCCAGGCATGCTTCTGATATAAGCATTCATAGGTGAACAGAAAACCAGTAATGTGTATCATGCATTCACACCATTGACCATAACACAAGCACCTCCTGTACAGAGCTACCCCTGGGATTGGAGTCCATGGTATGTCAGCATGAAGCCATGCCAGTGCTCTTCACCTCTGACAGCGAGCATATATATCCAGGCTACAATAGTGCAGCGCTGCAAAGCAGCTCTGGGCCTCAGCTAGGATCACTGCGTGGCTCCACAGTGTACTGTGTGGGCACATCAGCTGAAAGATCTCTCACAGAGTCAGACAGCAGAATGCAGACAGATTTGTCTACAGCTTAAATATACTGCACTCTCTTTACATACTGCAATTCCACTACAGTTGTATATCCTGAATAAATATGTACATCAAATACCCCAAGAAGAAATTCTGGACCAAAAAGACTTAGGTTTTCTTTTCTTGAGTAAAAATTGTTTTCACTTTCAAAGGAGCACATATGCTATTTAGAATTTCCACATTTAAACACGAAAGCCCTGTTTACCAATTTGAAAAAGTAGTCACATCTACAATAAGATAAGATGACAAGCATAAATCCAATTAAAAAAAAAATACAAGGACAGAGACACAGATAAAAAGACTTTTACATGTGTCAAGACTAATCTTTTTATGTCTGCACTGAACATAAATGTGGTTCAGCAACAAAAAAGCAGACAACCACAGCTACAATGAAATAGTGGCTACCAAAACTACTTTTTCATTTACAGAACAAAATCACTTTTTGGCATTTATTGATCAGTTAAAGCACTGATGAAGGCGGAGGAAAAGAAGGATGCATACATTAATACACTGAGATTCTTTGTTTTCAAGGTGCAAATTTGTTTCTCCAGCCACGCAGCAAAGTGAAACATGCAGTGAAGCTGTCAAGCCCCTGGCGCTGTTATAACTTGGGAATTCAGCAGTGCTAAATGAAGCATGTAGCTCTTCTCAGTGAACCACAACTCACACGACTCAGATTGCATGCAACGTATGGCCTACCATAGGAGATCTTCCATAGGCAACCACAGCAGCTGCAGCAGCAGCAGCACTCATCTGGGGTGACATATTGTGCAGACTGGCATAGGCTGTCCCTGGACTGGTTAACTCTCCATTCATGCCAGCATGAGGTACCATTCCAAATGGAGCAGGGTACGGTCCTGGTACTGCCAACGGTGTCCGCAAACCTGCAGCTACAGAATAATGAACTTAAGTAGCTGTGTTTATGTATTCCTGCATACAGGGAAGAAA